TTTTTTTTCAGATGAATACTGTACTGATTAAAAACACAAATCATTCGTTCTGGTATCCTGTGAGAAACATTTTTGTGTTTGTCCCTTTAGATTATTTTGCATGAACTGTCGTGATCGGATCTAGAAAGCAGTGTACAAACGATCAGATTATCATACGAAAGCAGTAATTTTTGTCCGATTTTTCTGATTGTATTATGCACAAGTGAATACTGTGAAGCTCTGCAGTTTTTTTTTTTTTTTCGTTTTTTTTTTTTTTATTTTCTTTGCATGTTGTAAGGTATGTCATTTTCACCACATTCACTAAGATAAGGGAAAATCCCCTTGAAGAGTGCAAATTCCCTTGCAAACTGAACAGCCTACTTGCCTTTAGTAAATCAACCCCCATATGTGCTAGTAACATAGTAACAAGTTCAAAAGATAGGCCTTCGCACGCTACATTGTTGTGAGAATAAAAAGAATTGCCCCTGGCACGGACCATGAGTTTTTTCTCTAAAGCCGTGTACACACGATGAGCATAAGCGGACGAATGATTGTCCATTTTTTTTTTGCATGATAGTCTCATATATATTGAAAGTGAAGAGGTTACTAAAGTTACGAAAATTCTTGTACGACAGAATAAAAAAAAATGAAAGTGATTAAATGGTTTTGTATTGTATTTTTGGATGAAAACTGTACTGGTTAAAACAAAATATCTTATGATCTGGTATTGTACAAGAAAAATTTTCGTGCTTGTCCCTTCCAACAATTTCGGAAAAAAGATGTGTAATAATGATCAGATTTTCGTACGATTGCTTTGAAAGTGATATTTTTCCTACGATTTTCTGATCATGTGTACTAGTCCTTAGGGCTAAGCCGCATGGCAGATTTCTTGCATTTCATAGTAATGAAATGCTAGGAGTAGCAACTGATCTCTATGCGAATATAAAAAAATGGCTACCCATGGAGAAAGCTACAGTAGTGAATAATTGCATGTTATTAGAACAGTGTGCAATTATTTGCTACTAAAACCATAGGGAACCATGTGTTCCATCTCTAGTCATTAACTGTGACTGCTAACAATAATTCACTAGCGATTGTATTAAGGCCTTTGATAATTTAGTTCATATGAGGTCAAAAACAGGTTAGAAGGAGGTTAACCACTGGGTCATGGACACCTGTTGACATTGGCCCTTAGTGTGACTGAACTACTAAAACTCTCCCATATAGCTCTAGCCGTAATATATTTTTAGCAAATGGATTGCAGTTCCAAAGGGGCTACTAATAAAAATTGTGCAATTTGGTAGACTATCGAGGGTTGTGGAAGACAGATTAACAGTCATGTACTACAAAGCCAGTAATAGACTGCAAGGAGGCTGTAGAGCAACCCAAAAAAGACCTGTGCAGAAAAGCCTATAAATCTAAAACACGGGTGTCAAACTGGTGGCCCTCCAGCTGTTGCCAAAACTCCAAGTCCCATGAGGCATTGCAAGATTGACAGTTACAAGCATGACACTCAAAGGCAGAGGCATGATGGGGCTTGTAGTTTCACAACAGCTGGAGGGCCGCCAGTTTGACACCCTTGATCTAAGGTCACCAAAGTTAGAAGTAAAGCTAATAGGCAACATTGAAGAACATGCCTAGTCCTAATTGTAGGATCAAAAGGAACAGCATATTTTCTATAATGGCTAATCTACAAATATATGTGCTGGAATAACTATAATCTAATGTTTATGGGTACTAAGGTGTCCTTATCAGATAAGACTGCTTGCTTATCACTACAGTGGTTGAGTGGTGAAAGGACTGAACAGCATAGCAATACAAACAGCACAATGAACACGTTTTCATTATAGAGAATAATGACTCTTTACAGGAAGCTGACAAGGAGCAGCTGCACTAACATGCTAATATGCTGCAATATATTTCTAGCTAGCTTTCATACTAGCATGAAAACGTAATGCTAAAATAAATGTTACATCCTTTTACCTGCTAATCATAATCACACATCATTTTTATGCCATCAAAAATTCCATCAACATGAGCTCAGTACATACATTTGCCATGTTTCTAGGTTTCAAAAATGCAAGCAAAGTGCAACTTTTTTGATATTTTCCATTGTCCCTCCATGTCTTCTTAAACACATCTTATGAAATTTATGTTGGTAAAGAATAATCTAAATGAAGTACAAGCATAAGAAAAAAAAAAAAAACGACAAAAAAAAAAAACAAAAATCCTGCGCTTAGGTAACTAAACCAATAACATGGTAAAGCAGCTAGCACATTAGGCAATAAACATAATACAAAAACAAAAAAAAACAGTGCTGCCTTTTTTTGTATTCTGGATAAGAAAAAAAAAAAAAAAAAAAAAAAAAAAAAAAAAAAAAGACTTTTGAAAAAAGTTTCATTGAAAAAAAAGTCAGCGTCATTGGTTTTTCAATGAACCAGTCACGACAGCAAAACATTGGGGCTGTCTTTTTTTTTTTTTTTTTTTTTTTTTTTTTTTTTTTTTTACTGTGTTAGGGATTTGTAGAACCACTGGGAAAAGGATGCGATACCAGATGAGAAATGAAACTGGGCATTCTTGGCTCCTGCCCTCTGCAAACCAATGTTCGGTTGCTGGAAATATCATCTTACTAACAAGCAATCTGTGCCTGTTTGTATTGTAGTATCAGAGGTCTTTGTTCTAGAGCAGGGGTCTCCAAACTATGGCCCTCTAGGTGTTGAGGAACTGCAAGTCCAATGAGGCCTTGCAAGACTGTCAGCCAATGGCAAGACTCCCAGAGGCATGATGGGACTTGTAGTACTTCAAAAGCTGGAGGACCATAGTTTGGAGACCCCTGTTCTAGAAGTTACTGTGTAGTAGAATTGGAACTGCATAGAGAAAAAGATTAGTTCGCCTTCTTGGGGCCAATTTTCTCAAATATACAATTTTAGAAGCTCTATACATCCAAAAGCCTAAAATTGGCCATAGGTGGATCAATTTTCTTTCCTGCAACCTCCCGTGCAGCCATTGTGTTGTTCCAGGATGGGGGGGGGGGGGGGGGGGCGCGCATCTATGTCGGGAAAACACAGTGATTACTGCTAGTGGCTATAATAGCCACTAGCAATAATCACATATAGAATCCATCAGGCTGGTTCTACCCAAGTGGATTGATCAATCAACTTGGGTACATTCAGCCTGCCCATACATGGTTTCAAATCTTGGCTGGTCCCTGCTGAACTGGTGGAGATTTGAACCATCTATGGTTGGCTTAACAAATTTTACTTTAGATACAAACTATACCATGTCTGCGGTTAGTGCCAAACTCAAACCAAAACCTTTTGTTTTAGTTTAGGATAGAATGAAGGACTGGAATTTAATTCAGGTTTTATTTGTTGTAGAAGTCCCTATTGGGGAGAGATACCCATGCTTCCAGTCTCTGTGATGGGGACAGAGACAGAAACAGAAGCACATTTATTTAGTAGAGTCTCGAAGGATTGAGGAATCAGGGTTTTTCACTGCTCTCTGTTTCTTCCTGTCTCGGTCCCACTCGCACCCTTTCATTTCTTGTTCTTTTGTCACTGGGAGAGGAACTTAGAGAAAATCCTAAGGTTTTTTCACATGAGCATCATCAGTTCTGTCACAAAAATGGATTAGAAAAAAAGCATGAAAACTAAATCCTTTTACATTAGTTTACACTTTCGTTTTCAGTTCAGTTTGGTTCTGTTTACAGCAGTATACATCTGATTTTCACTCAATTTCTTTTTTTAGTAGAGATAGTAGACAAAAGTATAAATAAAAATATTTCTTGCCTAAAAACAGACATAAATGGAATGGACATAAGTGTCCATGGACATAAGATTATAGAATGGTCGCATGATCACAAAAACAGAAAAAGGAAGCAAACCTTTTCTGATGTTTAATGCGAACATAAACGGACTTGGACGTAAGTGGATCTAAACAGACCAATAATTAAGTCCATTTATATCTGCCAGCTCACAGACCTACATTGTGCTTCAGTCTGGCTCAGTTTCTCCGTTTTTGAGATGGATTCAGATTGGACACGTGTGAAAGGGGCCCTAGCAAGAATACAGTCAAAAACCTTGAAAGAAGTTCAGACTCTGACCCCTCTGTTGAAAATGTAAAAAAAAAAAAAAAAAATTACAACAATGGAAATCACCTTAAAGGTCCGGCCAAAATTTTTTTTTTTTTTTTTAACACACGTTATTAAAAGATTTATCTAACCTCCCATAGTATTCAGGTTTTCCTGCTATCACACCCTGTGGCCGGTTCCTTTTATTTGTTTTTCTTTGGTCACATGAGTAGCTTGAGCTTGGCATATGATGGATGGATTACTGATGATCAGAAACCGGTTTGTTCTGCTATCCAAAGCTTTAACAGATTTATATGCCATTTAAGAGTAGATTATTGCTAGTATGTGTAATTTGCTAGTATGCATCAGAATATTTTCCCATAAAAAAGTAGCACTGGTCCTTGAAGCAAACTAAATTTTTGTAAGCAACATTATTGATTTATGAACCATCTGTTGCCTTGCCAGTGTAACTGGAAACATTACATACTGTACATGAGACTGTTTGGTCCTAACATGACAGTGAAATTCATCAAGTAGGTATTTCAGTGACTCAAGACATTTTGCTCCACAGTGTTATCTGGTTCCTAGTGAGCTGCCTGACTGTGAAATGTGACACAATATATTTTTTTTATCACTAGAAATTGAAGCCTAAAAAATTATGTTTTTTCCCTCAGACAGAAAAAAAAAAACTAATATAACATTCTTATTGAGAAAAACAGCATCATTTATGGCATAATACAGAACAAAATGTACTATTAACCCCAGGAGCAATAAAATAGGCGATACACAAAAATACAATATTAATAGATAGTACATGAAAATACTGTGCAAAGTCTAGAAGCCTGTTTACAGATTTGTTTTTCAGCTGGGCAATCTATATTGTATTGCTTCTTCATGGGGTAATAGGGGTCCATGACAAAGGAGGTTCACCCATGAGCTGGAAGATGGAAGTCTAAAGGTCACTATTACAGTCACGGCACAGAATGTCATGATTGTCTGGAATAAAGCCTTTCCCCACTAACGAACATGAGCAACGGGAGCAGTTAAAGCAGCTGTGATGCCAGTGGCGGTCTTCGAAGGAGACATACTTTCCTCCACCAAAACCTGAAAGAGAATTAAAATGGTAATACATATTCTATTATTATTTAGCCCTGTCAGTAAACAAGTACCTTTTGCATTTGGCTTTATTTATGTGTATTAATTTCTATGAAGGGAAAAAAAAAAAAACTTTATTTGAATCATATTTATTAAGATACCACTGAGGTGTAATATACCTGTGATAGGTTTAGTGCAGCCAAAACACTTCTTGGCATATAGATTTCCAAAGCACTTGATGCAGTATGGCTTTTCATCCTGTGAGGTGAACTGTGTCCCAGCTAGCTGGGCCTTGCATCCTGTGCAGACAAAACATTCTTTGTGCCATGGCTCATCCCGGTACGTCACTCCACCTTTGGTTAGAGTCTGCAATAATTTAATCAAAAGGACTTTGAGATACATGAACGTGTATGGTAAAATACAGTCATTAGAGATTTAAATGGCTATGAATTGGCATACAGCCCTCAGCTCATTGACATGCAGAAGACAACAGAGGGCTGTTTGAAGCGATATCCATTATCTAACATCGGTTGTGGTAAAACGGACTGCTTGGAGGGGAGGTTTTGCCCAGGTCTTCATTTACCACAAGACATCAAATGCACGTTATAATTTGTGCTTACTATTTTTTGCATGATTTTGTCTGACCACTTCCAGATCAATCAAGGAATAAACCAAAGTGTAGTATGGGTGAAGGCCTACTGGAAAAATCCCCTCTTTCAGGCTCTTAACTACTTGCCAACCGCAGATAGCGGAATGACGGCTACACTGCGGCTGGCCAGTTCTGGGAGGGCGACATATGACATCCTCCCAGAACGCGCTCTCCTGCGCGCCCCCGGAGATCTCCATGATTGCTGTGTCCTACGGACACAGCTGATCACGTGATGTTGTAAAAGGACAATCACAGTGGCCTTTTACCACGCGATCAGCCGTGTGATGACACGCTGATTACCAGGAAATGCAATTGCCGGTTCTCGGGCTGCACTTTCCTCACACTGTCAGAGCGTGAGGAAAGTACGGTCGAAAACCGGCAGTTGTCAGTGCAGGGATCGGCACCGATCATCAGGGCACTGATCATCAGTGCCCTGATGATCAGTGCCCAGCAGTGCCACCCACCAGTTCCGCTCACCTGTGTCCAGCAGTGCACCCACCTGTGATCAGCAGTGCACCCACCTGTGCCACCCACCTGTGCCCAGCAGTGCCACCCACCAGTGCTGCCAGTCAGTGCCCAGCAGTTGCGCCAGTCAGTGCCTAGCAGTTGCGCCAGTCAGTGCCTAGTAGTAGTTGCGCCAGTCCAGTTCCACCTATCAGTGCTGTCTATCAATGCCACCTATCAGTGCCGCCTATCCATGACAGCTCATTAATGCTGCCTATCAGTGCTGCCAATCCGTGCCACCTCATTAGTGCTGCCTATCAGTGCCGCCTATTAGTGCCCATCAGTTCTGCCTCATCAAAAGACATCAGTGAAGCAGAAAAATTACCTGTTTGAAAAATTTTATATTAGAAACAAACTTTTTTCAATTTTTTTGCACTTTTTTTGTTTATAGTGCAAAAAGTAAAGTGCCCAGCAGCAATTAAATACCACCAAAAGAAAGCTCTATTTCTGAGAAAAAAAATTATAAAAATTTCATATGGGTACAATCTTGTATGACCGCGCAATTGTCAAAGTGCGACAGCGCTGAAAGCTAAAAATTGGCCTGGTAAAGAAGGGGGTATAAGTGCCCGGTAAGCAAGTGGTTAAAGTGGATATGTAAACCCTAAATCTATTTTTCAATATGTTTGGCATCATGCCCTACTGTGTATAATTTTCTTAAACAATCACTTTTTGTGAATCTATTACAAAGTTTTTGTCTCCTGATGAAGTCACTTGATGGGACATAACACGTAGGGTACGCCGATGACATCAGGCCGTTAACCAGAGGTGCACGTGCCGCCATTTTGGAAGAGGGATTTCTGTATACACTTGGCACATTACACTGTATAGTGAGTTTTTAACAGTAGTTTTCTCAGGAGGACACATTTTAATCAATCTGGATCTCCTTAAAAGTGCTGGCAAACGGTGGTGAAGATCTGTGTACCATTATACCCTCCCGGGTTAAAGGGAAAAGCGCAGTTTGACCTGTCATTACGGGTTAAATTTGGAGGTGAGCGCAATAGAGTGTGGGAGGTGGAAGAGCACTAAGGGGTGACACAGGAGCACCGTTTATGCAGTAGTGTGTTTTACACTGGTTCACTTGAAGTACAGCGGATTTAAAGGGACAGTCCACCATTATTGAGACTATATTCAGTTGACACTTTTTGTTGGTGTATTTGGATCACAACACACAGGAAGTGTACCAAACAGGTCCCCTTGATGGTATTTAGGATTTAAAAAAAAGGGACAGAACCCATTTAGGATGGTTTGTTTTGTATTTGTGTGCACTATTTATTTATAGCACTGGTTATGTGCAGTCTCTATGGGTGTTTATATGCATACATTGGAGACATCTTGAATAGCATATATTGCTCTTCATAAAGCACAGCAGGCTGTTTTCACTATTTATACATGCACGTATTAGATTGTAAGCACCATTATTTTTTTTAGATATTGTTGCGCTGCATTTCTTTATTCTATTACAAAGTTGTTTTACTTTGAAATCCCACCATAACAGCACTACTGGTTTCAGTTGGACAGCGCTAAGGCACTGCTTTGCAGTTTTCAGCAATTGTTGGTCTTCAGTTGTCCAGTGAGCTGCCTATCTGATAGACATGATAGGCAACCCAACAACCAACTGAAGAAGCTTGCATGGCAAGTTGACAACACTACTGCTAACCAAAGACTTCGGCTTGGCCTTGTCAGCCCACAACAGGAAGTTGTGTTATTGAGAGGATGTCCAGGAAAGATTTGCAACAGATTCACAAAAAAAATGTGTATAATAAGGCTCCATGTACAGTTGTGACCAAAATTATTCAACCCCCACTGAAATTGAGTGTTTTGGCCAGTTTGACATTGCTTTTGATCATTCAGTCATCTTGCTTACATTTACATTAAAGAGGCACTTGTAGGTCAGACAAATATAACATAACAGTTATAATGAAATAACCACAAATGTCTTTTCTGTGCTCACAGCATTATCAGTTTTATTCAACCCCCAAGTGACATTCAATCTTAGTACTTAGTACAGCATCCTTTTACAGTTATAAACAGCTTTTAAACGTGAAGCATAGCTTGACACAAGTGTCTTGCAGCGATCTACGGGTATCTTCGCCCATTCTTCATGGGCAAAGGCCTCCAGTTCAGTCACATTCTTAGGCTTGCGCACTGCAACTGCTTTCTTTAAGTCCCACCAGAGGTTCTCAATCGGATTTAAGTCTGGTGACTGCGATGGCCACTCCAAAATGTTCCAGCCTTTCCTCTGCAACCATGCTCTAGTGGACTTGGAGGTATGCTTGGGATCATTGTCCTGTTGAAAGGTCCAACGTCTCCCAAGCCTCAGGTGTGTGACGGACTGCATCACGTTTCCATCCAATATCTCCTGGTACTGAAGAGAATTCATGGTACCTTGCACACGCTGAAGCTTCCCTGTACCTGCAGAAGCAAAACAGCCCCAAAGCATGATTGACCCTCCACCATGCTTCACAGTAGGCAAGGTGTTCTTTTCATCATAGGCCTTGTTCTTCCTCCTCCAAACATAGCGTTGATCCATGGGCCCAAACAGTTCTAATTTTGTTTCATCAGTCCACAGAACACTATCCCACAACTTTTGTGGTTTGTCCACATGGCTTTTGGCATACTGCAGTCGACTCTTCTTATTCTTTGGAGACAGCAAGGGGGTACGCCTGGGAGTTCTGGCACGGAGGCCTTCATTACGCAGTGTGCGTCTTATTGTCTGGGCTGAAACTTCTGTACCCACATCTGACAAATCTTTTCTCAGTTCCTCAGCAGTCACACGGGGGACTTCTCTCCACTCTACGCTTCAGGTAGCGCACAGCAGTCGAAGTCAGCATCTTCTTTCTGCCACGACCAGGTAGCGTTTCAACAGTGCCCTTTGCCTTGAATTTGCGAATGATGCTTCCTAAGGTGTCTCTTGGTATGTTTAACATCTTTGCAATCTTCTTATAGCCATTGCCCTTCCTGTGAAGAGAAATCACCTCTTCTCTTGTCTTCCTGGACCATTCTCTTGCCTTCACCATGTTTGTAACCACACCAGTAAATGTCTAGAAGGAGCTGAGTATCACAGTCATTTTAAAGCTGCCTAATTGGTGCTTATTATGCTTGATTGCTGCTCGGTGACATCCACAGGTGTTTTCAATACCTGATGGAAAGCACCTGTATGAACCTCTGTTCTTCAGAGTGGTAGTCTTTAAGGGGTTGAATAATTTGTGGCAATGAAGAAACCACATAAGAACCATTTACTACTGTATTACATAAACAATTGATGTCATTTTAGTTGCATTTGGGTAGTTACAACGTCCTTGTAGGATTTGATTCTGAATACAATTCCAAATGTACACTATAGTCCCTAAACCCCTTTACAGCATTGGGGGTTGAATAATTTTGGTCACAACTGTACACTGCAGCTAATAAACTCACATTTAGGAGCTTTTCTGCATTTTTTTCAGCAGCCCCTGAACTCTCCCTAATGTTTTCCTATGTGTCCATGTACACTATGTTGTTTACAGGCAGTTGAGTTTACAGTCGTTTTTTTTTTAATGCACCAAACTTGCGTTCAGGGGTAGATTCATCAGCGGTTCAAACGCCAAATGCTTGTAAACGCAGCTAACCGCGTTTTTAAGCGTTTGCATGCATTTTTCATGATGAAAAAAGGCTCTAGACAGCATCTGAAAATTGAGGAGTTAAAAAAATTTTCCAAAGTGTTTTCCCGGTACTCAAATGGACCTGGTACACCATACTTTGAGGTTTTGCATGAAAGAAAATATGTTGGACACTGCTGCAATAATTTCTGCACAGAAATGAGCTAGAACACATCCAAAAAAACAAAAAAAAAAAAAAAAAAAAAAAAAAAAAAAAAGAGTTAATCTCAACAAATACTGCTCTCTCTGCTTCTGCACTCTCAATTTCTCTCAAAATGTCTGAAATAGTTTTTCAGTGCATTCTGGAAGGTCACCTGAGGTTATCTTTAAAAAAAAAAAAAAAACGCTTCTAAAATGCAAACGTTCATAAGCGAGCGTTTTAAAAGCGGCTAAACAGACGTTTTTTAACCTACGTTTTCCAGCAGTCAGTTTCCATCGTTCAGAAGTCTCCTGTGTACATGGAACCTAAGGCAGGATGTCAAACATACTAAAAAATATTTTTTAGCTTTATATACACTTTGCTTTACAAGTACATATACTACAATCGGGTGGCACAACCAGGCTAGGTGATGTACCCGTACGTGACCTACCTTCTAAGTTTCGGGCATGTGTTCGCACGCCCCCTGCTGACCTGTGTTATGATTGGACAGAGCACGAATTTGTCAGCAGATTGCAGCCAATGATTTCAGCTGAAACCAGCTGATCGACTGTGTCCAATCACAGCACAGAGTTCTGTGTTCACAAAAACATAGAACTCTGAGTAAATAGTTTACGCTATAACCTTCACACAAACCTATTATACACTTCTTGGGATTTTTTATTAACCAAAAGACAAGTAGCAGAGTACATTTTGGCCTAAATTTATGAACACTTTTTTTTTTTTTTTTTTTACTAGATCTGTTTTATAACAAAGTAGAAAATATATTTTAGGTCTTTTTTTTATTTATAGAACAAAAAAAAAAAAAAAAAAAAAAAAAAAAAAAAAAAACACACAAAAACAGTGGTGATCAAATACCACCAAAAGAAAGCTCTATTTGTCTGAAAAAAAAAAAAAAAGTTATAAAAAATTTAATTTGCATACAGTGTTGAATTACCTCACATTTGCCACTTAAAGTAGCACAGTGCTGACTAGCAAATCATGCCTTAATCATTAAGGGGTTAAAACCTTCTGGAGGTCAAGGGGTTAAGGGGATATTAAACCTCAGTTTTGCTTTTATTTATGTTTTTAAATAACAACTGACCATGTTATACGTAGCCGTTCTGTGCAATGGTTTTGCACAGAGCAGTCCCGATCCTCCTCTTCTCTGATCTCCCGCCAGTGCTCCTCCCCTCTTCCGAATAAATTCCCCCCGCCACCTCCCCAGGCAAGCCACTTGCTAAGGGGGTACTCGTGAGGGCTTGTTGCTGAGCCCCACTGCCTGCATCCATTGACACAGACAGTGGGGCTTTGCTAATGACTCCCACTGCTATTAATCTGCCCTGTGAGGAGAGAGAGAGAGAGCGGAGAAAGCTGCTGCTCTTGTGCACAGCACTGGATCGAAATCAGGCTTAGGTAAGAATAAGGTGCAATTTCTGAAGACTTTATTGCTACTTGTGAAGATTCCTTGCAATTTGCAGCGCAATTTCCATTATATATTCTATGTATGTGAAATCGCAACAAAAAACTGCAAAAAAAGTAATGCAAGAACTACTTTAGAAATCCCGCTGCATCAAATCACATATGTTAAGACACTGACATTCAAATTCATTAGATGCAATTTCAGGTGCGATTTCAATTCACAAATCGCACCGGTATGACTGGGCACTAATGCACAGAATGCATGAATGTAAAGAACCACAAAGCTTTAGAATTACTTTCAAGTGTTACTAAACCCAGGACTCTGTATTGACTATCTGGTTTCCCACAGTACACCGAACATGGAAATGCAATTACTTTAGTAAATATAAACTGCTAAATACCTTTGCTGAACACTGATAGAAGTCTCAAGACTGCACTAACTGCCGATAAGAAGAGCACTGGTTAAAGCTTGTAGGAGGAGTTTTCATTTTATTCTAGGAAGATGCAGAACCCCTGACCTCTGTCTGGACATTGCTGATCACAAGCACTGTCCCAAGAAAAAAACCCAAAAAAACTCTAGCAATACACACCAAACTGAGCAGGTGCACAGCGTCTCCACACAATATGTCTTATCAGGTGATAAGAGGAGGACACTGGTAGAAGGGGAGGATCTCAGATGTCAGGATCAAACAGCATTTCTACACAATGCCTTAGGTTCCACAATGAGTATATCAAGCATGCTTTACTGCATATACAGACTGATTTTACAGTTGTGGGTTTAGTAACACTTTAACTGTAAAATCATGCAGTCCAGTGGAATATCTAAACAAGCTATCTGCAAATGAAACCTTCTTTGCACATATCAGGGCCCAGACTTCAAACAGCTTCCGCCTCTCCTGCAGAAGTCAGTTACTGAGGTTTGTAAAGATAAATGCTCTAAATATCTGTATTTTTAATAAAAGCCCCACTTAGAAATACATTTGTTTATAATTACATTAAAGTGCAATAACTACATTTAAATTGTTACACGATCCAAACAATTATGAGGCAATTGGACAACAATCTAACAATATATAGAGTAATAATAATTGCATGTCAGCGCAAACCATCCCTGTTTAAGAGAAACATTTCCTTATGTAATCCCATTGAACCACAACTTCAACTTTGTAAATGTAAATTGCTAGGCGATTCACAGAATCAGACACTCCCAAGTCGATTTTGTCTACCTTTTTGCAATGTGTGCATCGTGGTGCAAATTTGCTCTCATAGCATGGGATGCAGTAATGGGCCTGGTTTTCTGGGATAAAAGAACGGGATCCAATGGGCTGCTTGCAACTATTGCAGATAAAGCAGTGCTCATGCCAGGTCTGTCCATTGTATTCCAATTTACGAGAGCCTGCAAACAAAAACAAAAGGGTTAAATGTCAATTTGAGCAATTTTGAAAACTGTGCGCCATTTCCTAAAGTGAAGCTCAGAAAAGTGATGAGACCTTGTATTGATTTTTGTACAAACAACTTTTTCCAAACATTGTAACATTGCAGTGCAAGGTAAATTACTTGACAATAAGGCTGCGATCACACCTGAGCATCGCAAGTTTTTTTTTGGGCGTTTTGTTGCTCGTTTTTAAAGCGTTTTTTAGCTTTCGCATTTTGTTAATAGCCAAAAGAGAAAAATATCATCTTTTCATCATTTGTTGCAGGTTTTTCAGCTTTTTTAGCATTTGCATCAGGTTTTATTTAATTTTTCTTATTATTCATTTATTATTTTTTTTTGTTAGAGTAAGGGGTTAGAGGTAAGGTTAAGTGTTAGGATTAGGGTTAACATTTTATGGTCTTATTTGTTAGGGTGTTAATAATAATAATTATTTTTATTTAACCACTTGCTCTCCAGAGGATTTACCCCCCTTACCGACCAAGCCATTTTGTCGCACTGCGTTACTTTAACTGACAATTGTGCAGTTTTCCCACAAATGGAGCTTTCTTTTAGTGGTATTTGATCACCTGTTCGTTTTTAACTTTTTTTGCGCTATAAACAAAAAAAAGACTGACAATTTTAATTAAAAAAAAAAAAAAAAAAAACCCAAAACAATATTTTTGAAACATATCCAGTAAAAAAAAAAAAAAATTAAAATCAAATTTTGTCATAAATTTAGGCCAAACTGTATTCTGCTACATCCCTTTGCTAAAAAAAAAAAAAAATCGTGTAAATTAATTCCTTTACGTGAAAGTTATATCATCCTAGAATGTAAGCTCCACCTCCTATCCCTCTTGTATTGAACTGTATTGGCTCCCGTTATATTGTACAGCGTTATATTGTACATTGAGCAAACTGTTGGCGCTATATAAATCCTGTATAATAATAATAATCTACAAATGGTGGTATATATACACACTGGAATTTTTTTTTTTTTTTTATACTAGTAATGGTGATCAGCGACTTTTAGTGGGCTTGTGGTGGGCATTGTGACACTGGGGGGTGAGGGGAACTGACTAACTGCCACTGACATCCCCAGTGACACTAATACAGTGATCAGTGCAAATCAAAAGCACTGACACTGTACTAATGACACTGAGCAAGAAGGGGTTAGCATCTGGGGCGATCAAAGGGTTAATTGTGTGCTGTTTTACTGTGTGTGCTGTGTGTGTTTTACTGTGTAAGCATGCTGCTTCTTATTCATTTGCTATGCAGAGCAAAACAAAGCAGCATGCTGGAGCTAACAGGGGAGAGACCTGTATTGTTTACATACAGACCTCTCCCAGTCAGTGTCCTTTGGCAAACTCTGGGTGCCGGACAGGAATCTCTGGTCGAGACCTGGTGATTGACAGCCATAGCCGTCAATGGCGGCATGGGTACAGCGGCGCGCACGCCCTACCTGGACATGCAAAACCACATATATATACACACATGATTTTGCACAGACCTGCCACCCTCTAGCAGTATTTGTGCTATAGGGCAACAGGGAAGCGGTTAATATTTGTTTTTAAGGTTTGGGGGTTACTTATTTAATTGATTTATTATTTATGATTATTTATATTTTGGTGTGTATTTATCATATATTTATTCATTTAGGTTTTGTTTTCTTTGCATTTTTTTTTTCATTTGAGCAGAAAAACACTTCAAAAATGTGTGAAAAAACATGCAAAATCGCACATTTCCATTCTTTTCTATTGAATTAAAAACACTCAAAAGATGCTCAAATCTACCCGATTTGAGCGACAAAAAAAAAGCTTCATAACTTGTTTGAGCTTCAGGCGTTTGGGTTCAGGATACTTGAAATGGAGAGGAGAACCATCTCCATTGAGAAGAACTGATATTTTTTTTTCTCCTACAGCATTTTTTGGAGCTTTGATCTACAAATCTCTCAGGAGTGAATGGGGCCTAAGGGGTTAGCTCACACTAGACTGTGGTTCATTTATATTCTTTTAACCATGGACAGAAATCAGGTACACCCTGATAACCAGGTCACTATGGGTCACTGAGGACAAAAGAGTGTTTGTACAACTGTAACACATGGAACATGCAACAGTACTACAGCTAATGAAGGGCATGTTAGCTCACCCTAGTTGCCCACCATGATAGTACCTGGTAAGGTCTCATGTTCAAATTGTGGGGCGCAATTTAAAATGCCATTTACACGACAGTATACATAAACATGTTTTATCTGTCTTTGAACAGTGAAATCCTTTCTGGGCAAAAGCCAAAAAATTTTACAGATTTATGTTGTAAATATTAAGTGCAATTTTACTGCCTATTACCTAAAACTAAAGCCAACTTTGTGTATTTGTTGTATTTTTAATTATTTGAATGCCATGTTCGATTCAACTAGGGAAGTTGCCAAAGTTACTCTGTGAAATTACAAGACTTCCAATGATATAAATTCCCATTGATACAAATGTATTCCTCTTTTTTTTTTTTTTTGCAACAAACAACAGGTCAAGTTATCACCTATATTCAAGGCCAGACGTACCAAGATGCAAACCGAAATGAGTTGGAAATTATGTTCACTTCAAACATCTAATCAAATGTGTTGGAATGAGAAAAACATGCTCATGTTACTGGATGTTTAAAGTGTACACTGGCTTAGTTCACTTCCCTTTATACAATGGCCAGGACTGGATTTCCATAACGGGAGCCTATAGGCACATAGCTTTGGGCTTCCAAAGCAAGACCCTCTGCTGGGGTCACCTCTTTACATCAATCGTTTTATTTTACTTCTCCTTACCTTGCTTATTATAATAGATGGCTGTGTACTACTAAAGCTGGGAAAAAAAATTGTGTGGCAGATAATTATTCAGCCTATTGTTACCGTCATCTATAAACCTTCTATATTCTGTGCATACTTGTAAATCCAGTGCTGACTATAGCATATCAGGCTCTACATTTTAAAGTATGGGTGATGCAGCAATTGGCACGCAATCAAAAAAACAAAACAAAATGCCCAATCCGGGTCCATTAAAAATAAAAAAAAAACCCCAAATAGTAAAGTAACCAAACAATGTAGAGATAGTGTTCTCACTTCTACCCCACCTGTGTTGCATCATCTACCTGTATGCACATGATTACTTTACTGGAGCATCAATTATGCATATACAAGTTTGTGATGACAGAATACAGAAACTGTTAAATCAGACATTTTCTTTCCTACAGTATCACTCCCTGCATAACCTCTATAAAATAAGCCTGCACTCCTGCTATCTGATAATAGATAGAATTCCCTTACTATTCTCTATTTCCCATCACACCGTTGACTTCCATAGTCTGTGAACCCTGAAGTTTGGAGAACAAAATTATCTGTTTTCTAGGAAAAGTCCACAAGGGCTTAGGGAATTTTAAATATTTATAGCTCAGAGAATCCTTTAATCCCGTTACTCCTGTCCCAAGAAGACTTTTAAGTAATACAAATCAGCTTCAGAGCCAAGACAGAAACAGAATATTGCTTTAGCTAAACCCACAGAAGACTAACGTGCGGCCTGATATGAACCAGATTACAATGTAGAATGTGACTTAATTAATTGACAACATCGTCGCCTATCTTGTAATCTAACATCTCAAGATACAGAATATAACTAAACAATTACATACAGACTAGCACACTATATTCATGGAGCACTACATATTTCAACAGTCTTGAGCTTTAGGAATAAATAAGCACGTACATTCTCATTTTGGATAAAAGCCCATTGTAAGCATGGGTCAACCTAAGTTGCAGTTTTTTAATGTCTTTGCAACTTGGCCAAACATGGCTAGATCTTTACTTCGATACAACAAGCAGTAAAGTATTTGACTGTCCTCCAAAAGATTGTCAAGCAATATTTTTATTTATGTAGCCCAGCCGTATGTGCTGCAGAACATAACCATTTATATCTGTGTTTGCGCCTGGTGGAGATAATTTATTTTTCCCATCACACTTATTTGCTGTGCATGAAAAGCCAGATCTTTTGCCCATTGTACGATTTGCCTATCCTTGAAATGTGTTATCTTTCCTATTGATAAGGCTACAATGCCATCATTGGAGGCAGAAATCTTACATTATTATAGAAGACCTCAGTGATTAACTCTTTCAAGGGTATTACTACCACCAATGCGATCTGTGGTGCAAATTCCAAATGACAGACAAAACACAAGAGTGGCGAAGGAGAACCACATAAGAGGTCAACTGGCGAGAACAGAAAAGAACCTTCCTTTCTTGGCTGGTCATCTGGGTCTGTTCCTCTGTAAAGAATACTAGACACTTTAGCCAACTATGCACACAAGCAAATACTACTGCTAAACTAGACAAATCTGCCATAGAGACAGCAATATATTCCTACCACCTGGAACGTTTGTGACAGTTTTCTGGGTAGACACATTTGAAATCTTATCAACACTTTTACTGTCAAATGCCTAAACAGTGAAAGCATCCTTTCAATGACTCATCTGTCTGCCCATTAAAAGAATGATTTCAGAAGCCTAAGGCCCAAGCAGTAAACATTTTCCAACACACTTGAAGATATTTTCAACATTGCTAAGAGCTTTGTCATTTCCACTAATGCTTGTTTTTAATGAGTCACCACTCATACTTTTAAAATGTTCAAACCTCCACCGCGTCATCTGTATTAGTTGAAAAAGTGACCCGACTATGGTCTGCTTTCTATGGACCAATGACCTGACTATGGCCTGTTTTCTATGGACCAGATATAACACATTTTAAGTGTAACTGTATTTTAATTTCTGTGAAGACAGCAACAGAGAACCAATAGCAACACCTGTGGCATAATGCATGAAGTGCAAATAGCATAACTAGAGACAAAATTTTAATTGAGCAAGGGTGTTACTAGTATACGGTCGTACCACAAAGATACAGGGCTTCACAAATGTCTTCATAGGTTAGCATTTTGAATTTTAAAAAACTCCTCTACTAACTCTTAAAAGTGTATCAAACCCCCTCCTCCCCACCAAAAAAAAAAAAAAGGAAAAAAATATAAATGTAATGACTAAATCTAAGGAATAGAAACCTGTAACAAATTCCATTTTTAGACTAAGCTCCGGCACTGTCTTAATCAGTGCGATTTGAAGTGGCACACTTTCAAAAATTAATTCCTGCACTACTTTTTCCAATTTCATTGCGACTTGCATTGACTTCTATTAATGGAAGTCGCAAGCCGGAGTGAAATCGGAGGTACAAATTGCACTGATCTGTGGCTTTGAAATTGTGCTACTTCAAGTGAAGTAGCGGGATTTCAAAGTCGCATTCAGTATGAACCAGTGCTTATTGTTAAAACATTTACTGCTATTGCGTATCATTCATAGTGCCTGCTTGGTTCAAGGAGTTGCGAGTGTCGATGGAAAATTAGACTATAGGCTCCTCTGGAGTGTACATTGATGTGAATGGTTCATTATTCTCTGCAGCGTATGTTGATTTTATATAAATGGATATATAAAATATTCATGTAAGGATTAAATGAGTATGAAGTCACACCTAGAGAGATTCTTCTTTATATGGACACTCAGTTAAACATTTCCCAGCAATTTGGCGCTTTCTCTGTTATTGTAAACTGTGCCAAGGACTAACGTTGATAACTTTACTTTTTTCTGCAGCCCCCTTGTCTTTCGCAAAAAGAAAAAAAAAAGTAGCGTTATTTCAGTATTAAACCTGACATATAGTAAAGAGTCTAACTGCTGTAGAAAAATCAATCACAGCTCTATTATAAACTCTACAGGACCATTAAACTTGAATTATCTTTATGCGAAATAAAACACAATACTGTTTGCAGATATGCAAGTGCTATCTTTTTTACTTTAGCATACATTATAGGCAGTTCATCTTGGCCATTCACGTTTGGGCAGAATGAAATTTCACAAATTTGGTCAAACATATAGACAATTTTGGCACCCTTGCCAAAATTGTGGATCTTGAAGAGACCTAAAATGAGATCAATGTAGCCTTCATAGATTTTAATTTACACTTCTGGATAGCCAAGTTGATGTAATGTTTATCATCAAATTAGGTCTAAGATAAGCGAATTTGTGAGATAAAAGCTTTTTATAAGCAGTTTAGAGGGGATTTTCACCTTCAGCAATTATGGAAGCAGCACAGACTACTGCAAAGACATCTTGTCACTGAACTTTTAAACAGAAATAAGAAACTGGCAAGGGATTAATCCACTGGTTCCTCATCCAACAATGACAGCCGTTTTCATGCATGTTTTTAGAACTGTGTCTACCTATACATATCTTGTGCTTTGACAGTCAGGAAGAAATTTACAAAGTCTTGGATTCCAATGCTAAGGAGAGGTACAAAGGTGTTATTGTCCATAGGTACCTGGCATGACTGTCTTTTCACAACAGACGCATTTGGAGGAGAATTCGCTGCAGTAACACTCATTGCACAGTAGTTCCTCATCTTGACACGTGAAAGGCTCATCTGCCAAAGAACGTTCACATCGGAAGCAACGGAAACAGTTCTCATGATAATGACGATCCTCGTAGTAGAGTTCCTACAAATGGGGAAAAATATTTAAAAACACAAAGCTAACACAACGCCCATTTATTTTAACGGCAATGAACACTTCCAGTGTTACATCTGAAAGTACATTAAAAAAAAATTGCAATTCGTAAGGAAAATAACATTTGGTGAGCCTGACCTTAGAGTGTTAACTGGCATACCACACCTAGGTGTGAGGAAGAGGCTAAAGAAATGAGATGAGATCAAGTCAGGTATGTAAATCTGAAAGCTTGTGACATTCCAATGGCCTTGGTTGCAAAAAGTGTTAACAAGCTCACTTCTGAAAACTGATTCCATTGTATTTGAGGGAGTAGATGACAGGGTTGCTGCAGGATATAAGGGCATTGTCAAAAAAGCAATGGGTATGATGATAGCCGACTACTCTAGTATGCAGATGTCAGGGTTATGTTTATTAAGAAGTCAGTGGTGCAATAGTCAGGAGGAATATGGGGGGGATTTAGGGTTAAGGAGGAGGACAGCTGTGATGGGTTCCAGTCAGAATGGAGAATCTAGCAAAGTGGAAGCTTGAATACTTCGTAAAAGATTGTGGTTTGTGATAAAGGGCTTGAACTCATGAAAGGAAGTGATCTTGGAAGCCTCATTTATGCAGAATCTAGAACAAATAGTCCCATGAAAGCGATTCAAATACTTTTTTGATATCTAAAGAGAAGAGCATAGAGACTAGTCCTTTGGATTTGGCGACATGGGTAAGTTGCAGGAGCCTCTGATTGTTTTGTTAGCATGTCTGCCCAGTATGCACCCTATTTTTTCCGCTAAGATGAGCAAGGGAAGGCCCTGATTAAGGCCATGCAGGACCCCTTTATCACATACTTGATGAAAGGGTCCTGTGTGGCCTTGAAACATTGCACCTTAATGCTGTGATGTGATCAGCTTAAAAAACATTGGATTTTATCTTGAAGATCCATGGTGTCCTGGTGATATATGCTTTGATGTATGATGTTACAAGCCTCCAGCTGGTAGTTGCTACAGTACCTGCTTACTCCTTGCCTTCTCCAGGTAAGTGTGCAATGGGATTATGGTACATTTGTCAACTGAATGGTGAAGCATTAAAGTGTTACTAAACCCAGGACTCTGCATTCACTATATCTTGTCTCCCACAGTACACACAACATGGAAATGCAATTATTTTAGTAAATATAAACTGCTAAATACCTTTTCTCACCAGCAGTTAGAGCAGTCTTGTGACTTAAGTGGAGCACTGGTTAAAGCTTGTAGGAGGAGTTTTCTTTCTGCTCTAGGAGGATGTGAAAGTCCTGTCCCTCTGTCTGGACAGTGCGGATTGGCCCTGTGCTGATCACATACTCTCCCCAAAAAAAAAACTCTAGCACTACACACCAAACTGAGCATGTGAATGTGACTACGGATTCAGTATGCATCAGGTGGTCATTTCAACAAGAGGAGGGGCAGAGAAGAAAGGCTCAAACAGCCTTTTTACACAATGCACAGGATTAACCCCTTAGGTTCCACAGCGAGAACAACAAGCATGTGTGTTACTGCATATACAGACTGATTTTACTGTTGTGGGTTTAGTAACACTAAGTTAAAATCACTCAACAGAAACATTAGGCCATAGGTTAAAAGGGACAGAACTTGGGGAAGGTGAGAGATAAGAGCAGATTTGTCAAAGTTCAGTGCATCGTAAGGCTGGCCATACATTGTATAGAAATTGTACAAGAAAATTGTATAATTTCTTTAGATTTACATTTACCTATGTAGTGCAAGGGCCTGCCTGACTGGATACAAGTCAAAAATGCTGTTTAGGTTTGACCTCATATTATATGGTAAGGAAAATTGAGCAATAAAATCATTTAACATATGGCCAGCTTAAGCTGCAATAGTGATCAGAGTACCTGGTAGTGAGACTATTACAATGAGATAGCAGCTTAAGGGGTCTTGTATATTTTTGTAACAGGCAAATTGGCAATTTTAAAATGTAGAATGCTCATAACATATTTATGAAGCGTTTTCTACTTGCTTGTCAAAAACCTCTTCAATTGAATCTATTATCTGGTCAAGAAAGAAATACTTTCTTGCGTTGTCATATATCATACTATTGCATTGTATATCATACTAGCAGCACTGTTTTAGGAGTGTGTGATAATGCAGTAATCATACTGATATACTAAACTCTGTAGTGCTGCTTTATGAATCCAGTGTACTGAACTTCCTCTGATGATCTCCACCCTCTCTCTACTCCTGTCCAGATCAGAGGTTAACAATCACATTATTGCACCAAGTTTGCAAAAGAGGAGAGCCCTGGAGGGTCCATAGGGAGGGCAACGAGACATCACAAAAAAGCAAAAAAAAAAAAAAAAAAAAAAAAAAAAAAAAAAAAAAAAAAAAAGACCCTCCTTTTCAATGCAGAGTCCCTATATTTAAAGTAATCCCTGCCATCCCCTAAACTGCAGCATAATATCACTAATCAAATGTCAGATCTTCATTGCCTTTAATTTTGTCTGTATCAGCCTGCCTCTATTGTAGCAACAGGGGTTAAAGTGTGCTATAGCAAAGAAGCGATCTGCTGTCTATGTCCTCCTGTGTGTCAGTATGAATACGTTTGACCTATGAAAGTATCTAAATTCAAGAAAAAAAACTTGCTAAAAGCTTACTAGTATTAAAATGTAGTGTCTACGTTAGCTTTCTTTTGTTCAACTTTTTTCCTTTATTTTCACATAGAGATCCTCCCAGTAAGACACTTTCTGTTCTAGGGTGTCACTCACCATACTGTATCTATTATCTATCTCTATTATCCATCTGTATTGTCATCCTAGGACAGGAAGTGTGTTAGGACTACAGAAGCCCCCCCCCCCCTCCCCTTCCCCCCAGGCCCCCTCTCTTCTCCATGATATCAACCTTGTCAAATGCAAATGCATCCGTTTGAATGGCAAACACAACACATGGCAAGAAAACTGCAAACCAGGTAAAATTTAGTCTTTCAACTACCATGTCAAAACCTGCCCAATTAAAGTCAGAGATTTTGCTGACCTGTGTTTGATGCAAGTTCCAAATGCACATCAGGAAAACAATGACGGTCAATGTGAGCACTTGGATCTTCTTTTTTGATCATCCCACCCAAAACTTCATACATTGAAATTTGGCTGAAGTGGAAGTTTAAATAGTTTAAAAACAGCTATATTGCCATCTGCAAAAGCGCATTTATGCAGCATCAAGGAAGATGGGCTTTACAGATGGGCTATGCATCCATGGTGGTAGAAGGTTGTTTGCAGAAAGCGTGTTCACTGTGCACTCCACGCACACTGTTGCCAACAGCATTCAGTCAAGGCTCCTGATCGGGAGCAAGCAGGACAGGCTCCTGATCATGTGATTGATGTGAGCCCTCTCAGGCATTAAAGCCCACCAGGATGTGGCATTAAAGGGTTAAATTCTTTAACATTTTCGTTATTTGTGAGCTAGACACACAGAAAACTTCTCCCTTAAATACATAGATCTTCCCACAAATCTCTGTTAAGATAGGACATCAAGGAATGTATATTTTTCATGGAGCACGCAAGAACAAAAAGTCTCTATTAGAGATTCTTACCCTTGAATCATGGCCAATCAACTCTTTACACTCATCGCATGTGTTGGCAAACAGGCTGTCATAACACGGTATACAGTAAGGGCCCTCTTCCATCTGGATGTACTTTCGTCCATACAGAGACTCCTTACAGCTATCACAGTCAAATGGCTCACTCATTGTTTAAGTTGAATCTACAAGAAAAAAAAAATAATAAATAACCACTTGTAAAATGAATAGCATTAGGCTTTGATAAAGTTTGATAAAGAAGTGTTACATATACAAGTTTGCAGTCACGATCATTGGTCTTCTCTCAAGCTAATGCTGCCTTTTTTAAAATGTAGACTGTCTACAATTTTGGGGTTTCAAAAGGGCAACTAAACACAAAAATGCCATCTGCTTTACACCAATGTTTAAATGTGAAGGAAAAATGTAATGGGGACCAAACAGAGCCCCCTTGGAAAGAGGCTTAAAAGAGAACCAACCGCGGTGTAACTAAACTAAACAACTTTATTAAGAACAGAATTGAGTAAAATTAGGCCAAGTGGCCAACAATCCTCCAATCACCATTAAAATAAGGTTAGAGAATGTTACCACCTTGTATTTTAAAGTGATAACGTTATCTAACCTCATTTTAAACGGTGATTGGAGGATTGTTGGCCACCTGTCCTATTTTTACTCAATTCTGATCTCAATAAAGTTGTTTAGTTTGGTTACACCGTAGTTGGTTAAACCTCTTTCCAAGGGGGCCCTCTTTGGTCTCCATTACATTTTCCTTGATATGACCCTGGCTTCTGAGGACCCCACCGCTTATACGGTGAGTCGGTGACCTATCCTAGCACTTTGAGATCTCCCCTTTTGCGTGAGGTATATCTTTGTGTTAGTCTTGTTTATTAAATGTGACCCACCGTGACACCATTAGGACTACTTAAAGTAAAACACATCAAATTTTTACTTTTATTCCCATATTAACCTCTTGGCGCCGGCCAAACGCAAATGTGCAGCCTCCCAGTATCTGGACTAGATGCCAAGTGGCCGCACATTTGCTTCTATGAAAAAAAAAAAACATATGTGCTGAGAGCGCGCACCCTGCGTGCTCCTAGCACACATGTTCAGTACTCAAGGAAAGGTCCCGATCTCCTCTTTCGATTGGGACCTTTCCCGATCATGTGACTGCCGTGACAGTGAATCACAGCGGTCACATGTCCCTGACCCTAAAATCCTTAAAGGGCTGGGAGGCGCAGTCCTGGGTGCATTCTGTTTCTTGGTGCTAGACTTTAGAGACAAGCCCCACCCTGGAGCAATGCTCTGTCCATCCCTTGCCCTGCTATACAGGAAGCATCCCTCAAAGACAAATAACAGTGCTCTCACTGTAGATCAGTATGTTATTTGGGTGAAACTTAGGTTCAGGAGGTATCTGAAGAAATGAAGCCCCTAGTTAAAAATCTGTAGGTTGCAATCAGCACCTAGCACTGCCTCTGTTGAAACCTTCCCACTGTGTGCTGAAGTGTCTGGGAGGAGAGCGTATGAAGAACAAATAAAAAAGGAGACTTGGCTCAGTCAGGGAGGGTAAAAGGAAGTTTGTTTAATTTACAAGTCATATGCATCACATAGTAATTGGATTTTGGATAGCTTTAGGCTGTCACACAGGAGACTCAAGATGCACTTTAAACTCATGCAATTAAAGTTAGTCAGTTAGTCATTTATAAAGTAACAGACCTACCTAAGGATAGGGAGATGGCAGTCAGAAAGCCCCAAGTCGGGGACATTAAAGTGTTTGTAAAGGCTGAAGGTTTTTTACTTACCTAAGCCCCATCTCGATCCAGATATGTGCACACAAACCTCGTGTCTCCTGGATCTCTCTCTCTCTCTTCATTGGCTCTTGTTACTGTCAATCACAGCCATTGAGCCAATGGAAAGAGAGTGGGGGGACGAGGCTGAGCTGCAGCTGTGTGCGAATGGTCATACAGAGCAGGGGGTCGGAAGCGAGCTTGCTTTGGTGCCCCCATAGCAAGCTTGCTATGCCTGCTATGTCACTATAAAAGTGGTCCATGGGGTGCAGAGCTCATCAAGATGACTGCTAGTCCACCAGTCAAAAATGTCAATACATTCAGGTCAAAGATGCAGGCCATTAAAGCCTGCAGGGTAACTTAACATGCTCTTTAATGCCTGCCACTGGCAGAAAAGATCAGCCTTACAACATTCGTATGCACAGTGGAGATGAACATAAATTTTGAGCACCACCCAGTCACCACCCTAGAGCCACATATTGCTTAACAAAGTGTGGGTGAATAAACATTGATGCCTATAAATATTTTAAGAAATGGTTACTTGAGTGACCTGTGTGTAGAGTCACAACACAGTAACACCTTCCTGTACAAACAATCCCCACTGCTGAAATAATACCTCCTCCACCTGCCAGTATTCAGGCATAGGCTTGATTCATTGCCACTTTATCACACTAGCTGTTATTTGCACAACAGGCAAGGAAACAATTCTGCAGAAAAACTGCATAGTGACTAAACATACTACTGTAGCAAAAAAACAAAGAAAACATTGCTCCTGGGTGGTACACTTGATAGTGTACAGTATAAAATATTAAAAGTGTACCTGTCATTTTATGAGAGTGCTCAGTACAGACCTGTGTAGAGGATGCTTTCTCTAGTAAGGTTAATAAAGTATACCATTTTTCAGCTTTGGATAGAGTGGAGATGAATTAGAACACCTGTCAGGTTTTTTTTTTCTGTCTGTGACCCCAATAGGGAGATTTACCCTTTCTTTTTGGAAATGAAAGTGAAAGAAAATTCCACATCTGAGTTGTCACCAGAACATGAATATAGCAGAAATGTTCCAATGGGACACTAGTTCTGGTGACAACCAGGGATTCCCTAACTCTGGAGGGACTTCCTCTCTCTTCCTGTTTTGGTTGTGGTACAGGAGGCAAAATCTTCCCAAATAGATCACAAAAAAAGAAAAACTGACAGTGGTTATAATCTTTCCTTACACCGTCCAGAATTTAAGAAAAAAAGTTCTGCCTTTAGTTCTACCTTAATATCCATGCTTCAATGGTTCAGAGCAAGCCTTAAAACCTCATAATAAAACCATAGGGATTAGTAATAAATAGTTTCCTACCCCACCTAATCTCTAGTGTGGCCCCAGTGGCCATACAAGTTTTCCAAACTCTTCTTTCAATTTTTTGGCTCAAAAACATCACTACCGATTTTTGATTGGTGCCTTTTAACCTCCCTAGCGGTATGATTATGTCTATATTTCTGTGCTTAAAGCAGTACATTTTTTTGCATGGAAATATGTTATTTTTTGTACTGTAGGCCTGTAATTTTTAGGAATAACCCACTGAAATCTGTCCAAACAAGAGTCTAGTAAACATTCTGGGTAGGATAAAACTTGAAACACGAAATCATAAATTATAATTTAATAAATAATCATAAAAAATAATATAATAAAAATTTAATTCAATAATATAATCAAACCAAAAACACAGAAATTTTAAATATAGCGCCAAGTTCGCACATCACTGAGCAAAGTCGCAAAATCGTTTTCAGTGTCTGATGGCAAATTTCCCCACAAATCATCACTCAATTCTGCAAGTGGTTCTAATTTACTATCGCTGTTCTCTAGCTGGTCTAAAACTGCTTTTGACCTAAAGGGACGCTTTTTGGACTGTCCAAATGTAAGATTTTTGAATGATTTTTCGTCCAGTGTAAGGGCATCCTTATGCAGATAAAAAAAAAATTATCAATTTGTTTTAATAGTTATAAAAAAAAGCACAAGCCCATAAAAAACAAAAAAACAAACTGTGTATAGTTTGCAAATATGCATAGGTTCATGGAGTATCCATATTTGCTTATTACACATGTAAGTTGCATAGATGAGCCATTTTTTCATTCAACCACCTGGCTGAATGAAAAAAAGTGACTGACTCCCTGCTCAGCCTTGGTATCCTGACAGAGGGGAGACTTCTCCGCTATCAGAATACTCTGATCAGTGCAGCCAGCTATAGCTTGCAGCGCTGACCGATCGGGAAAAATCCGACGAGACAGTTGTTCAGAAGTTGAGCGATAAATCGACTTCTGTACAACCACAGTGCCCACACAAGGATCAATATTTGTCTGATCCCTACTGAATGATCGAAGTTCAATTGATCTATGACTGGCTTCATCAGAACTGCTAATGGCTATGCCCAACCATACCTTACTTTTCCTCTCTCTCACTGTAAGACTACCAGCCAGCTCTAACACACTGAAACAACAATGCTCTCTCTATAGAGCGGAGATAAAATCTCAGCTCTTACTTTTCAGGAAGGATGAGTGATTGTTGTGAAATACAGATATTATTAGAAGAGATTTTGTGATGCAAATACAGATATTAAAGGTAGTAAGAGAAGTCTTACAAATCAAAAAGAAATGTGATAGCAACTAGGCTGTTTGCGGGTATCGATGGGTATTCGGTACAGCAAAAAGCATGCAAAATTAAAGGTGGAGTAAAAACAGAAGCTAATTCATAAATATATATTACATTGAAGTAAAAATGCTTGTTCTGGAGCAGAAAATAAATGCTACAGCAATATACATATACACACAGACATACATATATACACTTACATACATACACAATTTTTCAATTCAGCTATCGGCGGCTAGAGAGGTCAACCACCGGGTCCCGGCCGGCACTTGCCGATCATTGGGGAAAGCTGACAGTGGAGAGACCTGGTGTATAAACACAGGTCTCTCTCCTGTCAGCATGCACATGCTGTTTTGGATCTCTCTGCACAAAACGCATAGGTGATCAAATACCACCAAAACAAAGATCTATTTGTGGGGAAAAAAGGACATAAATTTCATTTATTACACCGTTGCATGACTGCGCAATTGTCAGTTAAAGTAAGGCAGCGCCGTATCACAAAAAATGGCCTGATCAGGAGGTAAATCCTCTGGAGGGCAAGTGGTTAAATGTCTAATAGTTATTGTTTTCTGCCACAGTGACAAGAAAATTTGAAGGAGCAGGATGAAAAATGTTTCTAACAATATATAGTTTTCCTTCAGGAAAGTCCATTTGATACAAACTTTGTTTTGAGCGACATTCAAGTCTTCGATTGT